AAACATTGAGCTTTAATAAGTTGTATTTATGCATAATTTACTTGTATTATTGAATTTTAAGTAATATGCATCAATATACAGTACTTCATGCATAAAAAATGGGTTTTAAGAGTTTTTGTCAAATGTTTTATAATATAGTATAGATAGTATAAATAATTAATGAAAATATTGTTAAAATTGTTGAAGTTAAATATAATTTTTTTAAAACTTTTAGCTTTTGATATTATATTTAAAAAATTATAACATAACTGTTTGAAATGCTTTTATGTCCAATTACATCACATTACAACATATCGTAAATACAAGTATTTACACTACATTACAGCATATCGTAAATACAAGTATTTACACTACGTTTAAAAAAATATACTATTTTTTTTATGAAAAAAAAATTATTTGATTAAATTATAAACATGAATCATATAACTTAGGGGCCGTTTACCCAAATACTTACCCGGTAAACGCTTATCGATAGAAGTCAACACTATAATCTATTTTATCAGATAAGGTTGTAGTATATTGAAACGGTATCGTATACAACAATTTACCCGGTAAACACTTACTCGGGTAAAAGTTTTCACCATCACTTACCGGGTAAGACTCTCATCGCTCTTACTGGTAAGATTTTCAACTATTGTCATGTGCATCAACAACTAAGGAAAGTTACCCAATTCACACATACCGAGTAAGTGTTTAGTAAACGACATCTAAGTAGCTTACAAATAAATTATAAATCCCATGAAAATAAATTGGTTGATATTTTAAAACCCAAAGCGTCAATAAAATAACAAAAATAAAAAAATAAAATTAAAATGAAGATGCATCATATATCTGGTAAACCCTAAATTATCCTTCGTCTTCCTTTTTACCCTTCAATCTCACAAATCTCTTTACACCGTCGCCGGCGAGGCTCTTCTTTTTCCGATCTTCATATCTCACTTGCTTTCGAGGTGCTTGGATCAACCTATTTGTGCCATGGAAGATGGAGGAGTTTATACAGAGCTGTTTTCTTTTCACAAAGATCAGATCCCATGGCTCTGATCTTGCTCTTATTGTTGGAATCGGTGGTCTCGGATTTTTTTTTTCAAACTATAATCAGGTAAACATAATTCCTTCCATCTATTTTTCAATTTTAGTTCACATTCACGGCTAGGGTTTATGTTGCAACTCCATATTATTGGTTTATTTTTTACTCAAATTAGACTGATATTTGTGGAAATCATTGCTAAAATACAGTATTTTACACTCGTATCTGAACTTTTACTTGTTGAATATTTTAGGGGTTTTTAATTCATATACTGGTGCATATGGGGGTTGGTTTCATATGGATATATAGAATCACACTCAGGTTATATGTATATGGTTATTGAAAAGTGGGGTTCTTTTTATATGGATATATACATAAAGATTAGGATTAATCATTATAATGACAGCATTGAGTAAAAATTAATTATTATTGGGGGTGTTACATCCAAAGAGTAGGTGTTATATTAACTAATTGATCAAATTAATTAATTTTGGGTATTGATATTGATTCAACTCATTACATAGGTTTAACAACACCCTAGCGACCCGTCATTTGACTCAGATTATTCGATCAATGATTGATGGGCCATGGTGCACTTGGTCTGAAATCCCTAGAGAGGTGAAGACACGGATGTGAGACCGTTTTTAAGTTTGTAGTATTCTTTTAACTTGCTATATTTTTGCTAGTTTTATTTTGAACTTAACAAGCAACTAATCTTTTACGTATAGGGGGATCCAGCACTAGACGCCAAGATGCTGCAAATATGGGAGACCCGGGGCGCCAAAAACTACAATGATGGTATGAATTCTGCTAGGAGAAAGGCAGGCAAAAAGGCCAGAAGTCAATTGATGCCCTATGTAGAAAACGACCCTAATAGAGATATGAATATGTTGAAGGGCTTCCACCCCAAGTGGCTTGATCCTCGTATCTGGTACGAGATGATTGATCGTTGGAACACGCCCCATTGGAAGGGTGTTGTTTCCAAGATAGTGCATGATAACCAGATGACCATAGTGGAAGGTGATATAGCCAAACACACCGGCGGATCGATCACGTTCGCCCTGCATGGTTCTCGCCTGGTAGGTCCTTAAAATCGATTACTTTAGTAGCTTGATTTTTTATATGATACACTTAACATATATTCGTATTACTTGCACCTTTGTAGACGAAAGCAAAAAATTGGTGTGCCACCGGCCGCTGTGGAACTCTTTGGCCATACGTATAAGAAGAGGTCGAGTACAGAGTCATCTTCGGGTAACGGGTCACGAGAGGAGTACATGACTTCGAGGTGTAGTCGGGTTGCGGTAAGTTTACAATACATATATATGTGTGTGTATATATATATATATATGTATAGGGGCTTAATCAAATTAGAACTGAGTTGTTTGTGGTAACTATGAGATCCAATTTCAACCACACATTCTAATAATCAATGGTTAAAATTGAAAGGAATCTTAATTAATGTAATTCTAGAAATAAATTACTGACATTTAATGACATAATATGAAGAAGGGCAAGATGGTCATTTTTTTAATTTATTGAGCCGGATTTGAGCGCGCGCTACAAATCCGTTAATGTTCTTAATATACACTGCTCAATTCGAATCCAAATAGAGTCAAGATACTGTCTGGTTTTCGAGAAGCGATTTTCCTAAACCCTAGAGTCGATCGCAAGTGGAACTATATACATAATCGATGGATGCTAACGAAGGATTAGGTAAAATTGCTTTATGTTCTACATTTTCAATATGAAGAATCCCGTAAACATTGTTTCTATAATGTGAAATGGTACAGGAAGAAGAAACGGTAGGATAAAGGCCAAATCGATGTTCAAGTTCTCAAACAAAGAAAGCGACCCCTTAGACCTAGACGATGATGTTCAAGACGATGTTGATCTTATTTCTATCGAAGAAACAGGTATCCTCTTGTTACATTCCCTAACACGGTTTTAGGTTAGTAAACATCAGTTTCAAGTTTTATTGTTGGTGTTGTTTTGTTTTAAACAATGTGGAAACATGAATATTATGTTTTTTTGGAAAAGAATTTACCACATTTTGATAATCAATTTGTGCTACATTGTGATTACATTTAGTATTGATCATAATCTTTTGGAAAATGGTGTGGTACATCGTGATAACATTTAGTATTGATCATAATATTTGTCTGGACAAAAAATGGTGTGCTAAATTATGTTCAGATTCTTAATTTCTTATCCTGTTTATAATAGCAGCATATGCACTTCTTCTACTAAATCACTACTCACCGTGCAAGAAAACTTATGCGGCCTGTAGCCCGAGGCCCCTTGTGGTCATGTGCTTGGATTGGCAATACTTGCATTTTGGCTTTGTATTCATGATGACGTTGACAATTTTGTAGTTTCAAGACAATTTTGTTGAGAGTTGGATTGTAGGATAGTAACTTTTGAAGTATTTTTTTGAGTGTGATTGAAATGTTTGTGGCACCCTGTGGTGTGCTACATTGCGAGTAGAGAGAATGTAGCCTGTCTTTGTCTCTGGTTCAACCCCAAATCCCATTAGTTATAAGCCTAAAATATAGTAACATGGGGATGACCCTCCCCTTTGGGTGGCCACCACCCTAATAGCAATAGATTTTATGGTCAATGGACCACCTCTCCTTTGGCTTATATAACCTACAATAGGTTTTATTTACAAACAAAAACACACTACTCCCACTGGACCATTAATCGTATGGTTTCCATATGTTTTATATCTACCTTTTAAGATGTCGTGATGTTGACCCCTCTGTATGAATCCAACCTAGACTAAATGATTGTTTACCAACACAAATTGTGTAAAAAGGATAACTGTGCAAGACTGTGGTCTGAATCAACTCTAATCACCGCCTCAGTAAAAGGGTACTTTTTAAAACCCAATTTTTTATTTTGATGAAATTAAGAGCGAACGAATTTACCGTGGTTGATGAACCGCTAGGAACCAACAATGAGGGTGCTTAAATCTTGATGCGTTTGGAACTCTAGTGAGCCATGTCTTGATCTCAAGTGCAAAAACATAATATACTAAAAATTACAATAGTGAATGGTGAAACCCAACAAGTATGTATGATCTGGCTGAATCAAGTAACAACTGAGGAAGAACAATATTAACAACATGCTGTTTTATAATGATTAATAGTACCATAGATTCCCATTAGTTACATAGATGGAGTCTTATTTCCATTTTTAAGAGGGAATAAAGAGCTGTGAACTAGACTTGCCTTCTGCTGTTATTTATTACGCATGTGATTAAGCAAACTACTCTTTGTTATCTCTCTTATTATTTTCATTATATTCCAGTTCAATTCTTTGTGGCTAGAGATCATCGTCTTTTACTCGGTGAATTTTATTTCTCCATATTATTCTATTTGCTTATTCCTCATTTTCTTGTCTGCTTCTGTAGCACCTTACACCGTACCAAACTCGGATTCGAGCCATGACATGTTAGTTAGAAAGAACACATCCTGATGAAAAGATAAAAATAAAAAAGGGGTTAAATGTAAAAAGTAAAAAAGTGAAAAATATATATAGATGGTGGCATGGAACAATATGTCTAGTGTTGACAGTTACTTCCAATGCAAGCTATAACACAAAACATGCAAGAAAAGGGTACCAAACCCCAAGATTAGCATCCACAAAGCTAATTGCCAAAACACCTTTAATTTTCACAACAGAAAAGCAAAACAAATAATGCCCAAATTTCACCTTTTACTAGTTGGTAACTTTCAAAACATTATGGAGTTCAAATGCAACTAATCTGATTAGGACCTGTTATAAACAACCACTACACTTTCTGTTTCTAATTAAACATTTTATACGTTTTCCGAATACCAACTGTTTGTAACATGTTTGTGCATGAGAATGTATATATGGAACCAAAACAGTTATTGGTACCACATGAAACCATAGCTTTAATACATGATAACTGTGGTACCAACTGTTTGTAACATGTAATACAGGAGCAATGCCTGCACTCTTAAGGAAGCCTAAAATCTTCTCTTTCACATTTCTTCTTTCCATTAACTTCTTCTTTGTTCATATCTGCTACTCCATTGATTTACAGGGTCAAGTTATTCTAAAATGGAAAAACACATTAAACAGCTACATTGTGGATACAATGGTGTGCTACATTGTGGTAAAATATACAGACACAAAGTCATCACATACACATACAGACACAGACACAGACACAGAGATTTGAGTCCTAATCTAGTTAACAAGAAATGGATCCCAAATTAAGGTCTGCTAGCAGCTATATATGTGCTGCATCCTGCTTTCATACATATATATATATATATTTATATATGAAGTGTGTTTACAATGGTGTGCTACATTGTGGTAAAAATACAGACACAGAGTCATCACAGAAATAATATGAATAGAGATTTTGGATTCAAGTTCATTGAATAATGTGATTGAAGCTGATGACATATGGTAGTTGGCTAAATAATATGCCTTGCAACTTCCATTCAGTACTCATGGCAGTGTGTGTATTCTCAGGCAACCACGCATATGCTTTTCTAAAGAGATTTTTATCATTGTATTTACTGCATCTTCTACTTTAGTTTACCCTTTCGTCTAATATTCAATTTTCTTGATCTTTCAGGTGAAAAAAAATCGAAGAGGAAGCGAGATAATGGTAAGAATGCCGCAAAGGAAGGAGATACTGGTAAGAATGGGAAGAATGGAGAAAAAAAATGTGCAAACAAAGCAAAAAAAACTTAAAGAGAAAAAGGTGACAAGCCCGAAAGCTGACGCGCATATAAAATCAAATAAAAAAAACAATGAGAATACGAGTGGCAACAAGCAATGTACGTAACTACATACATTATTACTTAGTTGATAGATAAAATACAATATTATACTGAATTATGATGGCACTGTTAATTAAATAATGTATTTGTTCATGAGAATGTATATATAAAACAAAAACAGTTATAGGTACCACATGATACCACATCATTTGGTCATGTTATGTTACATTATGGTTTACACAACACTTAATTACATACTAATGCAATATTTGTTTAAAATACCACATACAGGAATACAAGGATTGTATAAGGTCAAAGATGAATTCGATCTTAGCACAGAAACAAAGCATTGAGATGATGATAGACAATGCCATATCAGATTTCCCGTTGGATAGAGACTTGAGGATAATGAGCAGGGAGCTACAAAGTATGTTCGGACAAGAAGATACTTCTACAGGAGATGTTGTCAATAATGAAACTCAAATTCAGTTGTTTGAAACACCAAAGAGACCTGCGAAGGGGTCAAAGAAAAGGATGAAGAAGGACTCAAGAGATTTGGAAAAAAGCCCAGATTCAACTACTGGAATGCAGATTGTACCAGGTGCAACCCTTGTCGATTCACCGATCTGGAACAGTCCACGAACACATATGGAACTAGATAATTCGTTCATTTCATATGCCAAGAAAATGCAACACAAGAACTCTGACATACCAAAGTTTGATTTAGGTATTTCACCTTATAAGACTGTCCAGATTCCGCAACCCCTTTCATACATCCCTGCCTTCAAAAAATCGTTGTTCTCACTAAACTCACAAGTGGAAGCAATCTGTGATGCACCTAAAGCATCAAGAAGGGATGCGAACTTAGGGGAATCACTAAGATCTCCATACTAAGATCTCCATATGTTAAGCGATGCGTAGAGATCGATACGATAGAGACAAGCTCGAAGAAGAAAATTTGCAATTGGATAAATGCAGCTACAGAACCAACTTGGTAAGTACCATTACCTTTTAATATATTATGTTTAATACATATACCAGACAAAGTATGGTATTAAATTACTACTTCCGATTACATGATGCAGTGAATCTGTATTTGAGACCACATCAGGAGCCGTTGCGTTGAGAGGGACGATAGAATCCCTATGTGCGCGAACCCAGATATATAGTAATGTCATTGATAGTTAGGCAACATTACTAAACCACGAAGAGCGATTCAGGAACATATCATCACCGAGAAGGCTTTTTCTGCACATCACAATTCTTGTAAGTATGCTTCTATAAATAACGTAAATCATATATACAAACTTGTACATTATCTAACAACAAAATGGTTGAACCAGTCGACAACAATGCTTGATTCAAACATAAAGGAGGATGTGAAGCTGGATATATTTGTTGACAATCTATTGGCAGCGGTTGGAGGTGATGCAAATATGGTTACCTTCAAATTGATTGACCTGGTGAGTTAATAAGTAGTAACCACATTTATTATGTGTTTATTAGATATTACATTTAACACACAACTACCAATTGCAGTTATTTTTTCCCATCGTTAGAGACATGCATTTCTTTGTAGTGGTGTTCAACTTCAAACGTCCTTCCATATTGGTTATAGATAACCTTGAGCAAGATCTTGAAGCACCCAACAAATATGAGGAAATACCGGATCTTTTGGTGAGGAACATCAAACAAACTATATTTTTAATTCATTCATTTTATGTTTATTTATTCAATGATTTGAGTCTCATATTTACCGTTTTCGTGCAACACTTTTTGATGATGTTGAAGGTAGGTCATGCATTGTATGAGGATTTTGTTGGGATAGATCCGGTGAAGATAGCATTGAAATGGTCTACTAAACAGAATTTGCATGATTGTGGTGTATTCTTGATGCGTCATATGGAGTGCTACATGGGGGAGTTGCCTTACCGATAGAAATCAGGACTAGATGTGAAAGGAGCAAACCAAGTCAAACAACTGCAATTATTGAGAAGGAAATACACTGTTAAACTATTGCTTTCAGACATCAACATTAGACGATCATTCGTGATAGCAGACTGTGAAAAGTTTATCGCATTGGATTTGAAGGAGAAAACACGTTTGCTTAAATGCGCAGAATCTAATAGGGAAGCGAGGCTCGCAAGTATTTAGGAACTGATTTGGAATAGTATTTCATATCGTATACAGTAAATGGTAGTTACTTTTGTTACTAGTTTGGAACAGATTCACTAACTGATATGTTAAGCTGGTTTTTTGTTTTTAAGACAAACGTCTGGTATTAGCTTATATATGAAATGGATGTTTCGAATTTTTTTGTTAAATATATAAATTGTTCTGCGTATTTCATATGTTGTCTAATTTTATTAAGTTGTTTAATGGTTGGTATCACATCTTGCAATACATGTATGGACTATGGGATGGGTGATATGTATCACATAGTATCACAGTACATCATAATTACAAATCATGAATTAATTAGTAAAAATTGTTATCACACATGTATGTACTGGGTGATTTCTATTATGTATCATATGTATCACATCGTCTCACAGTACATCACACAGTACATCATAAATACAAATCATGAATTAAATAGTAAAAACTGTTATCAGGGTGATTTCTATTATGTATCATATTGTTCCACATTGAATCATAACTATTAACCATGAATCATGCATCATGTAAATAGTCAAAAATTGCTAAACCAACTTAACCAGTTATATTTTCTAACATTATAACTTGTACTCAACACAGTACATAAACATATATAATCACATTAAAAGCGATAACAACTACGAATTCAATTCGATCGATAACATAAAAAGAACTGAAAATTGTATTTATATAAAAAGAAATGGCTCGGAAACATCAAAAACAAAATAGTCCTACTTTGTCTTGGTTGGACAGTTACGGATATCGTGATTAGACACCAACTTGCATCCACTACACATCCTCTTAGGCCTGCTACTCTTCAATGCTGTTTTTTCAGCTGCACCAATCAATCCTTTGGATGTACCACAACCTTTGTTCTTTATACCGGTAGCAGGATGTATCTCAATGTTATCAGGTCTTGTAAAACCAAGAATTTGTTCTATTCCATGCTCTTTACGTTTCATCGAAGGTTCATACGTGCAATCTTTGGCTACATCATCTCTCATTTATTTGAGTGTAGCCACAAATGATTCTAGTTTTTCTTTGTCATCTCTTAATATATCCAACACATCATCGATGATTTCATATGTATCGTTAATTATTCTGCATTGATCCTCGCCTACGTCGCATATTATTTGACGGCTGTTTTGAAGTTCAATCGGTATAAGGTCACGTCTCCATCTTCTCAAAATATATTATTCAGGTATAAATTCAACACCGACGTTTAGCAAAACTTTGAACACGTGTCTGCATAAATAACCATGACGACCGATGTGATTGCAACTACAAACAATGGTAGACTCCTTCAAGTTACGAACAACCTGTACATAATATAAACTTCAAACATCAAATATCACAATCGAAATGTTGTTCAAACAAAACAATAATATATAAAACCAATAATAAATTACTTTTCTATATGAACATACCTTATACTATGCTATTTTCTCATCTCTTTTGTCTAAATGTTCAATTAAATATGTTTCAGCTTCCTCATTTGAATTGACACTCTTAATTGAACATGTCCAGGCAGCCCTGTGTATCTCAAAAAATACAGAACGCGTGTAATTCTCACAAGCGTGCCTCTCCAGCTTGCTATAGGTCAACCATTTAGGTAAGGTAGTTCTCATGTGATAATCAAAACGACGTTGCTCCCGACGTTGTTTCTCCAAGGCAAATTCAAACCCCAACATAAACTGAAAAAGATTGTTTCCACTTTTTGAAAAAGAGTTAAAGAATGAGTTCGCACTTTCAGACCTGGATGTTGTCTTCATGAGGCAACACATTGGAAGCTCTTTAAAATACGCGGGTATCCACTGGGATCTTAGAGCAAACATATCTTTCAACCATGGATGATCTTGAAGGGAGAACTCCTCGATAAGAACCATCCATCTACTCTCAAACCCATCAGGTGATATGTGAATGTTCCATACGAGCTTGAAAAATTGTTTCTTAAACGTGGTGTTATTAAGAAGATCGTAACTAAACTGCAAGTAAATTAATTATGTAAGAAAATAAAGAGTAAACAGAATAATAGGTTGTTCGGTTTCTTTATAACCTTGTTGGGAACTTTATTCATGATGTGTCAAATACAAAGCTTGTGCCTTGAATCGGGAAAGACTGATGCAATTGCTTGCTTCATCGCAGGACATTGGTCGGTAAGAATCATCATAGGGGGCTTTGAATGTGCTTTCCGAAATGCTTGGAGTAGCCACTTGTAATTTGGAACATGCTCATGTCCAACCAAAGTTGATCCAACAACGACATTGCAGTTATGATTGTCAACCACAGTGAAGGGCACAAAAACCATGGAATGTCTGAAACAATAAACATATCAGTAACCGTAGTTTATAAATAAGGCCATCTTCTTTTAAAGCAAAATATACGAACCTGTTGGTTCAGAATGTAGCATCAAAAGATATTACATCTCCAAATTCAGAATAATTGAATCTAACTACTTCATCAACACAGAAAATAGTATGCAACTCGCTACCAACACAATTGTACTCGAAAAAGAAATTATGATCCGCATCCCTCTTCTTGGTCATCAAATCAACCAACACCTTTGCATCACCACGACCGACAAAATCGTCACAATCCCTCTTATAATTTTGATAATCGACAACCGTTGGACCACCGTATTCGTACCCTCCTCTTAGAGACGTATGCAACTTATGAGCCAGTGTGGCACTCATATTTGAGATTCCGGCATCATGAACAAATCGCTGATCTGAAAATTTTATTTGGCGTCCTTTTCTAGTCAAATCTATATCATCGCGTCTCAAAAGTGAATGGTTGTGATCCTCTTCAAAACCGTAACACTCATATGTTGTTGTTCCTTTCATCAATCTGAACTTCACACATGCTGTACACCCGGTCCTTTTAATATTGGAGTTCCAGACTTCTCTTTGATGTTTACGGCGTACCATCGAATCAAACGACTTTTTCAATGGCAAACCAAACCTACTACATACAAAGTATTTATTATGTATTGCACCATCAGAATTAATCTTTTGGCTTGATCATTATACCTCAAATCCAGCCGTCTCAACATATTTTTGGTATTCCGATTCTGCTACATCCAATGACGGATACACAGATTCGATAATGTGCTTGACAACTTCTTCGACTACAGGAGTATACCAATTAGTACTACCTGGTGATATTGATAAGGCCTGTTCTGCTTGATCAATTACTATAAACATGAATTCAAACATATACCTGGTGATTTATTAATGTACCACAAATGTGCACATCAACATACTGTATTCGTTTACAACAGTACAACAAACATCATCATAACATTGATATATACAGAGGCATTGCATATTCTTATACAACAAAACACATCTAAAATTTATACACATATAATTGCAGATATTAAAGATTTCCATAATCAAAACAAGAAGATAAAACTAATATAGATAGACAGTAAGAAGTATTCTGAAAACATGAATTCAAACATATACATGGTGATTTATTAATGTACCACAAGTTTGCACATCAACATACTGTCTTTATATACAACGGTACCACAACCATGATTATAACATTGATACATACAGAGTGAACGATGTGATGATAATTAGTTTGGATAACACACTCTGATACAAATCAGGTTGAGCACATTATGTTGTAGATGTAACGTAGTTTTTTAACAGATGGATGAAACAAAAATCTGGATTTTCATCATTTTGAATCTCATTGTTTGATGTGTATCCTGTTGTATCATCCATTCCATGAGTTTCAATATACCAAAACAATTTCTTCACAGTTTTTTTTTGGACCTTTTTGAATGGAGAAAGTCCCACATCAAAATCTTCATTACTCTCCCAGGTCACAACCTCCATAACATCTACATTTTCTTCATGAGAATTAACATCTACACTATATTCATGAGAATTGACATGAATTGAAGAATCAATAGGATTTTTACCATTGTTCTTCATTACGTGAGCAACCTCCAAGATGAAATTCTTGCAGAAAACACTTATTGATTTGACATTCTTAAATATCATGGAGAAAATCTTCAACAAATATGTGTGATTCTATGTGATTATTTAGAATCATGACCATGTTTACACCTACGGATTAATTTTTTTGAATTTATTCCACTGAATCATATTAATCTTTAATATAGGAATGTAAATCAATATTAATTATTTTTTGTGAAACGGTTCTATTTTAAAAATTAAAATTTAATCTTAATTTAGGAATTGACTAACATACCCTTTTAATTTGATTTTAATTGTGTACTTAATATATTAAAATGATTGGTTGAGATTGGCCCTCACAGTTACCACAAACAACTCAGTTCTCCCTTGAATGGGTTCCTATATATATATATATATATATGAACATCATGTGAACCGTATGAACATCTTCTGTATATTCAGGAGCCAACTCTGTTGTATGTACATGAACACGTATGAACCAAGGCATGTAGGGTTGTGTGTTTTCATACGTGCTCACATGTCTTCACATGTTCTGTGTGTGTATATGGATTCATATGAATATCTAGTGACTTGAATAGACATGAACACTTATGAATCACGTCATCTAAGGCTGTGTGATTTCTGATGTGTTCATATGTCTTCATATGTCTGTGTGTGTTCCTATGTCTTCATATGAACATCTAATGCACTGTGCATTCACTTCATATGTCTTCACAAACTGATTGAATCTCTCAACAGAGTCAGCTCCTGAATATACAGAAGTTGTTCAACAGGTCAGGTGCAGTCACCTTTTTTGCAAGATAAGTGAGAACTGTCAAAGGTGAGAACTGTTGATTAAAACGAATGCAATATCATATTAATTCATTACCAATACAAACGCTTTGATCATTGTCTTCACTTCTGGAACTCGAAGTCCGATTGTCATCGTAAACCATTTTAACCTTCTCATTCTCATTGTTGTCGATCTGTTTTCCAATGGGTTTATCCATATTAACTTGGACGATATCGAAAACTTTACTATCGGAAATCCTTTAACAATCACAAATCCAATAACATTATAGATAGATAAATCAAATTTAAAAAACAATCA